TATAATAAATAAATAAACCGCCAAAACTAATAAACACATTGTCCGATTTATTACAGTGTTTTTTTATATTTTATGATAAATTAAAAATGATCTATATCATATTATCTTTAGTAGTATAATATTTTTGTGTTTCACGACATGTTCGGTTCAGTTTGTAGTGACCCTACTTGCTGTACCAGCGGTCGCGGATTTGAGTCCCGCTGAGAGCATTCATTTGTGCGATGACGGTGTTTATATATATATATATATATATATATATATATATATATATATATATATATATAACTATCTGGTATCCATAACACAGCCCTTGTAGCTTTCCATGGAACTAGGTGGTGCTGTGTAATGTCCCAACATATTTATTATTCATTTATGAATATTGCAACCGTACAAATATAAAACTTGTTACAGTTCAAATGAAGCTGTAAAATAATTGAAAGGGAATCGCTTATCCGATTCCCAAGCCTTTAATTATAAATTGAATGTTATTTCGTTATAGTTATTTTTGTTTTAATTACCAGGGTGTCAGCCGGTGGAGGGAGGTTTTATTTTTAATTAATACTGCCATGACTCTGGAGGGTGCGATTGTTTTCAGTTTTCAAATTACGCCTTTCGATTCATTTCACTAAAATTTTTTTTTTTATATTTATATCTGCAACATTTTCGTTAAGTTATTTTATTGACCATTATTTGATATTTCTATTTTGTTTTTTCCAGAAACATCGTTAAATGTAAACTTAGTAGTAATATACGAAACTGTTAATAATTTGCAATATAAATCTGATGCTATCAATCCAACCGTAAAGAGTTTTTATACCTTCTCAAGTTAAACGGTTAAAATTTCATTAGAATTTTATTTTCTGCTTATGTATTTACTGTTTTTAAACGTAATATCTTATTAAATTAATAAATACTAAAATATTTAAATATCTCCAATTTTTAAATAATTACATACAATTGCATTTTCTTTATGATGTACATACAGTTTTGGCCAACGGTATTAGGCACCCCCATAAAATACCTGCAACTCATAAATTAATTATTGTAAAAATGACTTATCTGTTTGACAATAGAGATTAAAAGATAATTTTACAAAATAGATGAAGGATTTTAAGGTACCATAAAACATCTGGTATAGAAAACGTGAAATATGAAGTTTGTTGAAAAATAATGTAATTTATTTGTTTAGTCTTCTTTTCACTTTCACGGTGACAAGAAGCTGCTGATTGTCGTTTTTATAGTATTATAGTATAGACTAGCATTGCCCGCGGCTCCGCCCGCGTTCAAATGACCAAAAAATAACTTCTTAGGTTTTACATATTAGTATACTCTTACATCACAGTTTTTGTATTTTTTCTCAGAGATGAGATATTTACCCGCGGTTATGTATCCTATATGTTGACCCGAATAATCAGCTATCATCATACCAAATTTCATCAAAATCCCTCCAGTTGTTTTTCCGTGATGCGGTAACAGACAGACAGACAGACAGACAAAAATTCTAAAAACTATAGATTCGGCTTCTGTATCGATAATAATGTCTATTTCAATAAGATTCCCCAAAAAAATATTTAATGTACAGATTCGGTTTAATTACAATTTTATTATATGTATAGATTAATTATAATTATAGTATGTTCCCTTTTCTTCTTCTTCTGATCTATGTGTATGTGTAACTGTGGCGCTTTAAATCAGGCTGCAAACTGTTTGCGCAATTGTCATTATTACTACCAAAATAGCAGTTTAAATGAGCAAATAACAGCGTTCGATTGGCGGATGTTTAACAAGTCTAATTTCAGGGCGATATAATTCACCTACTGTATATTGTACAGGTAAATGTTTCGACTACTGTGAAGAACTCAGTCATAAAAATTCATGTTCTTTAAATGATATATTTATTTTAAAATATCGTCGTTTTAGTCTTCGATGTTAGCTTCAAATATCTTGTTAATTCTCTGTTATTGTAAACTCTATATAGCGAACGTCTAACGAAAAACTCCTTAAAACGTTGATATTGTTAAGGTTTGTTTGGTTTACATTGTTAGACGTTAGACGTGGATACAATTGTTACTGAAGAATGGATTATAAATAAATTCTAAGTTTATTACTCTTTTTGTCTACTCTCCGTTAAACAAAAACTTTTTAATAACGTAATAAAATATTCGGTCCCTTGAATTTCGCTATATAGAGTTTACACCTCACTTGAAATACTTGTCAACAGATTTACACAATCGCTGAAAGTTAATCGAGCGTTTTGGTCCATTAGCTGGTACAAATAGTCTTTGTCGCCACTTACCTCATAGCAGAAAATTTATGTTTTGCTTGCCAGCTAGCGTACAATAAACAAGATGCTCTAAACCCCGCCCCGCTATTTATTGCCGTTGGCTCGACACGGCGCCCGTCCACCATGAACGTTAGCTCTAAAATGTGCCATTTCCCTAAATTATTTCAATGATAAACACTTCCCTCGCTTTAATGTATTATAATTTGGTTACGCTGTTACATATCGTTTTCGTCTTTTATTAGACGTTAGCTGCCAAATGTGCATGACTATCTAAGAGAAATTTGTCTTTTATGACCCCTCAAAAATGATGTTACTATTTTAGCATTATAACACGAGTCAAGGGTATGTCTGGACTGTTTCGAGTCATTAGGCATGTAGGATGTAGGTATCGGCCGCTGTGCTTTCCTTTTGCGGTGCGAAGCAACGGAAACTACAAATTAGTTCCTGCGATGCGCCACAAAGAGAAATCTTCAAACGTCTCTCTTCGGCGTCTTAATCGAAGTCTACCCGCTCATTACATTCTCGTCCCAGCACGCTCCTTTGTTCCTGCCTGAATTGATTTACTACCTATTGTCTTTTGACACCGCCGCGCCTCCCGAGTCTTATTTGCGTCCGATACGCTAGTGCGAGCTCGAGTTTTATTGAAATGTTAATGCGAAACGAAGTTTTTTCAAGTGCTCGCCATAAAGTTCGTTCGGCGAGATATAGCGGCAGCTGGCGGCCCTTGTTTGTAGTAGACTCGGAGCGAACATTGACGTTGCGAACCGTGCGACCCCTCTAGTCTTTCCGTGCACTGTACAATGCCTCCCCTATTTCGATTTACAGTGACGAGGCGCTTATAAAGGATTTAATGGCGACATGGCGTGTCGAAATATTAATATGCGGATTAACTGTACAAATAAACACGGTATTGTCTCTTGTAACGGCGAGTCTCCGAGTGGGCGTAAGACGATCGCACATTTGTCTTCGTCTAACAATGCAACGTTTACGCTATTTATACTCCACGCGTGGGTATGAGTTAATCGATGATTTGTTGTTATCGCTTAAGATGTTCAGACTCGTGATTAAATTCCTATGATTCTATAATGAAGTAAGTTATTCCGTTATATAGATACATTATTTTATAAATGTTTAAAACTTTAATCCTTGTTATTACATACGCACATAATGCGTGTCTAACGATCCACACTTAGAGAACATATTTTAATTAAGCGTTCTATATAAGATTGTCTAGTTAGCGTTCAGCTGTCGATCGCAAGGGGGTTATCTTTTACATACTGTCTAGACTCTAGAAGTTTGTGCTGTTGTAGAATAATTGTCAGATTACTACACAGCTGCTCTTATATTTGTGAAAGTTTCTAGTAAATGAACTAAGCGACTTTACATGCTATTTACTAAAACAATATTCGGCATTTTCTTAAAAAATATTTGTGGCATCTACATTTATAATATTAAATATAACGGTTCTTTATTTCTTTCCATTTATATTTTATAAAAAGTAAAGTATTATGATTTTTCAAACGTACATTTATTAATAATTTATGTACTTTTATTTTAAAACTTACATCAGTAAAAAATGTTATCAGTATTCGTAATACTAACTTTAAACACGTAAAGTGCTGCCATCTATTACCGTGTTCTAAGTGTATATGGTTCCATGACCTCGCGTCGTACATTTTGCTTCACTAGCTTATACACGCCTCTAACATTTCCGATAAAGGCTCTAAGTTTTATAAATATTCCATAACCATAGTATATAATGTTTATGAAAGCATACCGTTCCCCCCACATTAGTTGTTACCGAAACGTGAAAAGATTTTAATATCGGGAAATTCACATAAAATTTTGTTATTTTTCCGATAGTACATTTGCGAGTCGACATCTCTTCGGATTCACTGCTGGGATGCTCCAGTCCATAATTTGCGATGCCATTAACCGTGCGCGTGAAAGAGACGGAAAATGTCGTCGCGCTACTCGCATATCGGCCGCTGAATGTAAATGGCTTCATTTGATTATGTTCCACACCGTAAACGTTCTTTGCATTCATGCAATCCCAGTGAGTACTGTGGACGATTGTCGTTCCTATTGCCTGAGCAAAAGAATAAAAATAAAATAAGGTTTTATGGACAATGGACGACTAGACTTTTATAACTAATCTTTATCTGGAATCGTATTTATATCGTTGCGGAATGAGGGCACGAATGTTTGACTAAATCGATTAGATATTTTTTTTGTTTAATCTTTAAAGCGAAGTTTGCTCATGGCAAATATTTTTAGTATATTATTACTCAGCTGTTGTCGTCTTGGTCTGGTGCAAAATTGCTTTTTCTTCAATTTATGACCCGATTTTTTTTTAATTTAAACTTCGGTTAATTTTAAGAAAATCTTGGCTCTGGCACTTCACTATAGAAAAATTTAAGCTCACTGTCATAAGCATTTAAAATTTATTGATTTGGTCTGGCACATGAAGATCATCTGGTCGGGACAAACAAAATGATATATGTAAAAAACTTTATATTGCTATTACTAAGTACTCGTATGCTTCTTTATTCTAAATAAATACACCTTGTTATTTCAGCAATTGGACTTTTTCAATTGGTCCAACAGTCAACTCATAATCGGATAAGTCTATAAATTGATATCGTAACAGCATATCTGTATTCATCATCCGTAAATTACTTTAGTTTTTTTCTATAATATTACGTATCGATTACAGGAGACGGCAGAAGTGTGCGTCGGTACATCGGTGGGGACGATCACCGAGCCGGACTGCTTGGGTCCCTGCGAGCCTGGTACATCGGTCACGCTGGAGGGCATCGTGTGGCACGAAACGGAAGGTGGTGAGTTGTTACTAGCGCACGAACCCGCACCGTAGCGCCTCACTTCACACCTCCAGCACGCTTATGCACGCCTGGTACTTGTGTCCGCTTTGCGATCCACGCATACCCCCTTCATTCCATTGAACTCAGTTTGAATAAAGAATTCCATTTAACTCAGTTTGAAAAAAGAATTCCATTTAACTTCAGTTTGAAAAAAGAATTTCGTCTATTTATTTATTTCATCTAATCCATTCGTGTGACCTACAATCTTTATTTTTTCTTGTTGATAAAAATAGCAGACACTGGCAATTGATATTTTAGATTTTTCATTCCCAATATAAATGATAAAATCTGGCATTGAATATATTTATTTTACCGTACATTTTATTTGTCAAAAACTATTTATAAAACCTTTTTTTTGCGTTTTGTGAATTCTTATAATGATATCTTATATGATTTTTTATAATTAAACTAATGTATGTACAGAAGATCCCTACAATTGTATACTCCATCTAAGTCAAAATTGTTTTACCCTCTTCGCTTAGGGGAGTTCGTGCATCCATCAATAATTTCATTGACGTATATTTCCTTTGAACTCATCCTCATGACTTTAATTTGCGTAGACTTTAATCTTACGACACTTTTGCTTTTATGATTTTAAAAATGAATAAAATAACCTTTTAAGTTATTGATTTTAGCTATATGAGATTTACTTTGAATTTCGTTCCACGTAATTAATTTAACTATTACATTATTAAAAAAAATCGTTTATTTGGAGAAAATAACCTTAATCAATTAAGGTATTTAGTGGAAACTGAGAATGTACGCTATAGTCAAAATATTAAAAAACTATAACCGAGATAAAAGTTATCCCATGTCCTATCCAAATGTCCTTTTCAAGTGTCTGAAACTCAAATCTTCATGTCAAGTTTTATCTAAATCGGTTCAGTAATTTCAGAGATTACTTCCTACAAACTCACAAACTTAAAAATTTTACATCTTTATAATATTAGTGTAGATAGCGTTAAAAAACTTCCATCGCTTCAAACACTTTTAAGAAAATGCTTTATCTTCAACAGTTAATTAATTTCTAATATAGAGATAATGATTCCTTACGCTCTATATAACAATAATATGCTTCACAAAATAACGAGGCATTTATGTAATCAATATTAATCACTAACAAATGCCTGGGGCTCCTCATGTCAGAAATTCTGGAGTAGCTTATTATAGTTGGTATATAAATAATTACATTTAATAACTGTCTCGTACGTAAGAGTATAATGTTATCTTGCATATCGAACCACGTAATTATATATGTTTAGTTTCATTGCACCTTTACAGAGGTATGACAAGTTTTTAATCGATGCTATTCATCCATGTTATCTGCGTCTTATGTTATTTCCAAGTCTTTTTACATGTAAACATACTCCTAACTTGTTATAAAAGTATATTATTTAAATATTAAGCATTGTAAAGACCTATTTTGTTTTCTAATATTAATGTTGTTCCGTAGTAAAAATGCAAACGTCCGTCTGTTTATTGTTATATTATCCGGTGACTATTAGAGCTTAATAGCTAAATCGCTTGACAATTCTGCTGTCAAATTACGAAATATAAAGATTCGGGATTGCAATTCTCATTTTTAATATAAGTAAAAAAATAGTGCATATAAGTGTGTTCTATATAATATAGTGCTTATAGTTGCCCAGTTATATGCATCTAATTCTAAAATCCTATGGAACTCTCGATATGCAAGTCAAACTCGCATTTGTCCGATTTTTAAGTCCAATTATTTTAAATGTTAATTAAACACACGGATGATTAAAATGAATTTAAGGTTACAAAAATCAATTTATAATTTGCTTGTATTAAGATTGATATATATTGACGGCATTTACGTAAATGCATAGAATTTAAAATACTGTTGGCACATTGGCTTCACGTTCGAGCTTTACGACACGAGCTCGAATTAAATTTTAAACGATCTTCATAAATATTTTAGTGACGTTTGATTGATCGTGCTTTAAAGTTTAAGTCTGTAATTACTGACATATATTCAATTACAGTTTTAGTATTATTATACATTACCTTAGTTACATTTTATGGCAGTGGTAGCCCAGTTGTAATCCGCTTGGGAAACTGAGTGAAACGGGTTCAAATCCCAGGTTTTGCTCATCTGATATTTTGTCTTTTCTTTGGTGAAGGAAAACATCGTGAGGAAATCTGCATGTCTAAAAAACATTAGCAAGTTTTCGAAAGACATGTGAAATCTGCGAACATGGCCAGCATGGTGAGCTATGGTTTGTTTCCCGTCATATTGAAGGAAGGCCATTGCCCAACAGCAGGTCGTTAAAAAGAGCTCAAAAGATATGTACATACTACATATATACCTTAGTTAGCATCAATTAAATACCAAACTGATTAAAGATTCAATATCAAATTCATTGTTTCTCTGTATTTTTACTTTTACATAATGAAATCTCTGCCATGACACAGAGCCGTCTATCAATAGACAAAGAAAACAGATTATAAATGTATTGTTAACCTATAATTTTGTCTCTATCCTACATACAATAAAGCATATTTTAGATTCTATATTACATATTTAGATAAGACCAATCTCAGTCTGTCTATTGTATCCGTTATTAGAATCACAATACGTCTCCCCAACGTTACGTATAATTATTATAAAACGCGATAATAAATCAACATCTGGTCGGCACTTCCAAATTTATCCATTCTGTCGGAGGGGAGCGAATTCACGCCCTACAAGCTTATTTATTTTAGACTAATACCAGAGGGGCTTAGGGAAATTAAATACTGCAGACTTAGGCATTTTTATGAAACTTTGTTCACATTTTTACCTTTTATATAAATCATTTTCATGAAATATTATTATTTTCTTACAATGTTAAAAATACATAAAGTATTTGAACTTAACTTTTAGCTTAATTTATAAGCAAACCTAAAAAGAACATAATTCAAACAAAATACCGTGAAACGACAACATCCGAGTTTATTAATAAAAAAGTTAGTCACTTGATTTTAAATCGCGGGGGCAAAATGGCGGGTTTGGGCGGCGACTTTAATTAACTTTGTGGACAAGCTTTAAGAGCACAAAGTTTGCTTTGCGTTGAATGGGTGTAAATGAATGCTCCGGGCGCTTGTTTGTATGGATGGGTGTGAGAACAATGGCTGCGGTCAGGTCTGACTAGAGTTGCCGCCCACTTACAAAAGACAACGATCCATCCACGTTTCTGTTTGTTCAGTACATCCGTAATAGACTTTAAATATTACTTAAGCAAAATATTTTTGTTTGTTATTGTAAAATCTTATTATTAATTTATAAATTTCTCTTTAGTTACATTTTTCTTTAGCTATTATTTATTCATGGGAGGCAAAACATGGTATCACTTACATATTATGCTAGCAACACAATATAATTTTACGTTTCTCCTAGTCATTTCCAGTAAATTTTACATTAAATTTATTTTATTTTTAAAATTTAACAATTTTAAGACTAGATTCTTTGCATTTATTAAAAAAAAACTAAACATACAATTTCGCTAAAGGTGGAATAGATCTATACTAACTATACGAGATCATAGGATATGGAAGGAGAAAAACGTGAAAGCACGACCGGGAGCTCCACAACCATTAGTCAGTTGATTACGGCCCGGGGTAATTAGCACCCTAAATGAACCTATTTCAGAGCACTGCTCGCCTGGTACAGCCGTAGCGATCTCAATCGGGAAACATTAGTTAGATGGTGTTGCCTGCTAATTGCACGGATTAATTAAATAACGTTATTCGTGTTATTTACTTTGAATAATGAAAACGTTTTCACTATAATCGCGGTATTATAAAGATAAATGGCTACGATTACATTTAAGTCGTTTTATGTATATTGGGTACCAATTATTACTAAGTATTCTAGTAAAGGAAATTTCTAATGAAAATCTCAGATTTTAAACATAAAACTTATTTTTTTTTACAATAATAAATATTCGATTTAAATATGTACTTGTAAGATAATAATAAGTGTCATCAACAGAGGCCAATACCCATTAGTGAAGCGTACAAATCGAAGCGGACACGCGCAAACAAAAGGCCCGGACGTCTAATTTAACTTTTCCGTGACCGGTCGTCCATATTAACCATTTACAAGCGAAATCCACCCTTAAATAATAAAAGAGAGGCGCGCGTCCAACAATTTCCTGAGTTCGGAAGTTCCATCTGCCCACTTTTTAATATTCCTGCTATCCTACCCTCTTAGAAAGTTTAGTTTCTTTTTAAATAACAAGAACAAAGTAAAATACAGTCAGTCTGTAATGATGAAAGTTTGACTAAGAATATTATTTTGTCGGAGTGTATTTAGACAAAGACTAAATAATATTGTTTTAAAGCAAGCAATATTTTTTGTAACGTATGTAGGTTACATTCAATGTATAACTTTGTTCTTTAAATTCAATTAATTTTATCGATAAAAAGTGTTGACAGTTTAATTTATCTATCATGATTACGCTTATCGTTTCATTCTATACAATAACTTGCTATTATAATGCTAATGGCTTATAGTGAAATGCTTTATGGATTCATTGTTTGTGAAACAATAAAATGTTAAAAGAGAATTTATTTAGACATCGCATGATGTCGGCTACTGAGCGACTGCATTTATTTATTATACTTCATTTAATATTAGAGTTATAAATGTTTGTTACTTTAATATTATTATTTTTTTGTGAATTTTTGTATGTAAAATTTTAGATCTTAATCATCTCTTAGTAGAATATATTTATGTAGTAGTTTTTTAATAGTATTTAGAAATGTTCAGTATATGTTTTTTTATCTTCAAAAGATATTTTATTATTCGTGGGCGTGGAAAAAATGCTCAGATGGGATTATAAAAGGGACAAGCCGTGTCCTTTATTTTATCTCGATTTGTTTATTTCGCACTCAAATAACTTTTGCGAATAAATGGATTATCACGCACTCGCAACTCCGACTATAAAACGCGTTGAGTGAAATTGTTACATTCGTATAAAACATAAAAGCAGCAAATAATATTGTGGAAAAGTTTCGTACGAGCCGTGCGGAGGGATTAAGTTGATTAATTAAATTTGCATAAGTTAGCACGCGAGCGTGATAAGCGAGGGTGGTTTAGGGAAATGCGAGCGTTTCTAAATATGCGGCTAAAGTCACGTTCCTGAAGCAGCGGGCTCGCCGCACACCCGCCTCACTATGCAAATGAGCGCCCCCGTGACAAATTGGATCGCTCAGCCATAACTCAGCTGCATCCATTTTGCCCATGTCGACCCCAATTTTGAAGTTTCGACATCATTAATCGGGTTATATTTGTATTAGTTTAACGTTTAGGTTTTTATTGTTACAGGTGTTTTAGTTGTGAATGTGACGTGGCGAGGGAAGACTTATGTCGGAACTCTATTGGATTGTACACGACATGATTGGGCGCCGCCACGGTTAGTATCTAATCGATACTATACAAAAATGTTACCTCAATATATGGAATAATTTCTGTCTTAAATCATTAAACGATATATATTTTTATTTATTTTAATGAAATATAAATTTTAAGTTCTTTCTATTCGTTTGCTTTAAATCAGCGATATTCACTAATATACGTTTATTTCTTATAACATTGCAGATTTTGCGATTCACCTACGGAGGAGTTGGATGCGCGGACACCCAAAGGTCGGGCGAAACGTGGTCGGGGCGCAGTGCCCACTGACATGACGAATTTCACCGAAACGCGATCCTCAGTACATAGTAAGCTCAGAAATGGTGGTGCAAAGGGACGAAGAGCTTTACCTTCGCCTACACCGTTTACTCCACCGAGACCAGACTCAAAGAGGAAGCGTAATTCAGATGCAGAAGAGCGTCCTCCAACCCCTAAAGCAAAACGCCCACCTCCGACACCATCGTCACCACCCCCAGATCCTGTTTTACTTGAGTGTCCAGAACCTAATTGTTCGAAAAAGTACAAACATGCGAATGGCTTAAAATATCATCGATCGCACGCACATGGGTCGCCAGATGACGATGATAAAGATGGTTCTAGTTCAGAATTAGAAGAACCTACGCCGGAGCCTGCTTCACCAGCTCGACCACCATCAGAGCCTGCCACTCCTGCTACTCCCGTAAAATCTCCTACTCCTACAAAATCCCCTGAGGAAAAGAGTGAAAAGTCACCGGAAAAGTCTCCTGAGAAACCAGAGGCAATAGAGTCACCCCCTCAGCCTCGTTTTGAGGAATTTGCTGCGACTCCCGAGCCTCAACCTCAACCGGAACGTCCCCCGACCCCCCCGGCACCCACCACTCCTCCTCCTGAATCTCTGCCGACCTTACAACCTACAACGCAGTTGACACAGTTTAAGGTATGATATCCATTTTGCTCATTACTTAATTATTAACATGGTCAGAATACAAAATGAAGGCATATCAGACTATCTCTAATTGCCATACTCGTTAATTGGCCATACAAAGCCTTCTGTTGATCTGATTAAAGTAAGGTAAGCCATTGGGATTCAATATGGCGCTTAGTCTAAAATACTACACATCTATTTTACTTACATATGTATATGTACATAAATCCACTATCTAACGTTTTAAAAATAAATACAATTAGATTTGAAAAAATATTTAAATAAATAAATAAATACAAAGATTTAATAAATATACATACTATTTGTGACGATCATTAGATGCTTCTAACGATACGCAAGTTGTTGAACCGAATTAGACGAATTAGGCGGACACATTTATACAGGTAGTGGTAGCCCAGTGGTAACGCGCTCGCTTGCGAAACCGAGTGAAGCGGGTTCAAATCCCGGGTTTCGCACCTCTGATATTTTCATGTGCGAATAATTTCTAACATGATTACCACTTGCCTTACGGTCAAGGAAAAACATCGTGAGGAAACCTGCATGTCTGAAAGAACCTAGCAAGTTTTCAAAAGACATTTGAAGTCCGCCAACCCGCACTTGGCCAGCATGGTGGGCTATGGCCTGATCCCCCTCGTATTGAAGGGAGGCCCGTGCTCAGCAGTGGGACGTTAAAAAGGGCTGAATACACAGGCAGACACATAGCTTACCTTATTCTAATCTCACACTCTCATACGTTTTATCCGGGAAATTACGTATGCGATAATAGTTCAATTAAAACGTTAACGCCCAAAACCATAGAAAGAACAATGAGAAAAACTTAAACACACCTAGCTATTAACAAAACTTAATATTTAATTCCAGGTAAAACCCAGGTCAGCACTAATGCCATCAGAGGAACGTAAGTCAACAGAGTCTCCACCAGACGAGTCGCCAGGCAAGCGTCGCGGGCGCCGGTCCCCAACCCCGGGTGTACGGTCGCCGGCGTACTCTGACATATCAGATGATGCTGCTCCCACTGAGGGAGCGGCTGATGCGGATGCTGGGCACCGACCTTTCCCGGTTTATCATCATCAGGTACATACATACATGTATACTAGCTAGCTTGCTTCCCAATACAAACTTTCATCCCCATTTTCACTCCCTTAAGGGATGATTTCCGGGATAAAAAATATCCTATGTCCTTCCAAGGGTCTCAAACTATTTTTTTACCAAATTTCATCTAAATTGGTTTAGTAGAGATCCAGAGATACCCCCTACAACGTCACAAACTTACAAACTTTACCTCTTTATAATATTAGTATAGATCTAGGTTTTATGTATAACTTGCAAAGTTTGAATCCTAAGGAAACTATTTAGTACTTCGATTAATCATTTAATAATAATTTTATAATTCTTCGATTAACTCAACAAAAGAGACTCCTAGGCAAAGGAGGAACTGTAATTTTAAAAAGGAAGAGCTTGTACATATATCTTGAATGAGCTAACTTTAGAATCAGAATGTAACACGCATGTCAATTCATCGGTTTCATTCTACAAATTAAATAAAGTTATAATTAATATTAATAATAAATTCTTTATTTCTCGTTATCAACTAATCTATATACAATCTATTACGAATAAAATATAGCAAAATACTCGTACATAATTTTTAAATATTTCTTCTTCTGTGTTGTATAAATAATAGGTAGAGTTAAAAAAACGTCTGCCGTCTCATATGATGTGAACTCTCTTGTAAAAAGTCGTGTCAATTTTAGTGGTTAAGGACTAAATAGAATTGTAATATCTAGCAAAGCCGCAGACACTAGCTATATGCATTTATAGCAAGCAATACACTCTCGACAGCATACTACTTGAAGTACACTCTTAACAGCGTTTTCATCCCGCCACGACCGCGGGCGCGGACACGCCGGCGTTACAGTTAACAATAGATTTCTTAAAAATTTAATTAATTTCTTAGAAATTTACCTGGAGGTGTTAAGTTTCGAGAGTCTCTCGTAATCATCAGAGGTTTATATATAAGTTTTTTTTAATCTGATATTTAAGATGCCTATCTAAATATCATCTCAGTTGAGTAGATCAGTTAGAAAGCACTAATTCGTACAATACAATGTTTCATGTGATATTCAATTACATTCTTAAAGCAATCAGACTGTGGAGACTGAACCGTCTCTTACGGTGTGATTCACCGATTTATATCATGTTACGTACATCCAACAGAGGTTACAATCGATTCTAATGTCTGGTTCATATTACAAAAAACTTCTATTTGTCCGTGGTTTAATACACTTTATTTATTTCACTTAACAAATAAGATTTATCCAATCAACTAAAATTATAAAATGACAATAACGTCTCGTAGTTGAACTACATTTTAAATCATGTGTACATATTAATAATACTGTTTTTTAATATAATATTATAGATATTAAGTTTAGCAACTTATTATATAAATAATTATATCTGAAAATTGCGAAATCATATGGTACAAAACAAAAACAAATCTATCCCACGGGAAACGTACATTTTTCCGGGATAAATAGCCTATGTGTTATTCTGTTGTATGAGCTATATTATTGTAAAGTTTCATGAAAACCCATTCAGTACTTTTTGCGAAAAAGAGTAACAAACATCCATATGTCTAATATCTATACAAACATCCAGACATCCATATATACTCATAAATTTTCGCATTTATAATATTTGTAGGATTATTGATAATTTTGTATAGAATTAAAGTACCTAATAAGGATTTATTTTCATTATGTCCAATAATACTTATATTAATAATATTTTTTTATAATTCTATCTATTTTTGCAGTATTATGGACAGCCGCCATACTTGCCGACGCATCCGGCCAGCGCTCCGCCTCCCAGCGATAAAGGGAAGGAAGATTTGTCAAAGGGAGACCCAAAATCAGACCTCAAGGTAACGAATCTCTTATAAAAACATAATATTATGTTTATAGCGAGCACGTTTAGCGATTTTAAATAGACATCAGAGAAAATAATAATGTAGCAAAATAAATATATCGTCAATTTTCTTGTTCATGTTTATAATTTTAAATAAATTTTATTCTATTTATCGACTGTTCTATTCAGTCGATAACTAGTGATCACTGTTACTTACTATAAAACACATCGTTCGAGGAATTCAAATGATATCTATGGGTTTTCTCGACTAAATAAACTTATTTATAATATGTATGTATTTAAAGTTATATATGTTTAGTGTATCAACTATCTGGTGTCCACAACACAAGCCTCGTAGCTTACCATGGAACTAGATGGTGCTGTGTGTTAATGTTCCAACATATTTATTTATTTATGTAATTGTTGAATTCAACTTATTGTACACAAAAAAGTCTTATTGAAATTCTGTCGTTTTTGTGATCTTAATGGAACATACAACAATCCTTTTGCAATAGTTACATAACAAAATCTCTTATAAGTGAATATCTCTTAGTATTAAATTCGATTGCACTAACCTTAAGTTCTAGTGCGGTAAGTATAAGTTAGTTATTTTAATAACCTATAATAAACCGTGTATTTCTTATTTCAGGATGGAAAACCGGACGGAGGTCCTCAAAAGGTCCTTCAACCACATTTTTACCCGTATAACTATGTTCCGAATTTTCCCTACAACGTGGAATCAGGCCCACCTCCTGGAACACCTTTAGATGAGAAGGCAAAGGAGTCAGATCGTTCCAAAACTACACCAAGTCCTTTAGACAAAAGTAAACAGTCGAGGTCTTCAGAGGGAAAAGATCCAAGCAGACCGAATGAGAACCATCAGATTTTGAAAGAGAGTATAGAAATGAAAGCGCAGATGGGACCGTACGCCTTCCAAAGACCGCCGCATGCGAGAGAGGAAGAACTAAGAAGGTTAGTTAACAATATTAGTTTTGTCAAATTTCATAAAATAGAAAAGTCTTAGATCTAGGATTATTGATCAAGATTAAATCACATAATAATTTGTGTTTAGGACTTTGATCATATATACTCGTATATTAAATCGAGACATTCCGTCAATCTGGCGTCGCTCGTGGCGTTAGTTGATAAATAGTGATAGTTTACACTTTACAGCATTATTATCAATAATTATTAATTTACCAGTTTATTTTTAAAAGTAATTAATTGTTAATACAATTATGTTCCACCTTTACACATGGAACCTTTCTTTCGTTTCTAGTTAAAATAATGGAATAAAAAATATACACTCAAATTAAGTGCCTTTTTTTTGAAGTCGGTGTAACATTGTTTTTTACATCAATACTGTTCTCTAATTACAGATATTACATGAGTCTCGAGCAGCGTCGTAAAGAAGGTGGTGACGGCAAGCCGGGCGCGCCGCCCGGGCCCGGGGGAGCTCCGCGGCCGCAGCCCGCTCACAAGCCTAAGGACAAGGACGACAAGCCTAAGGAGGAGGTTAAGGTAATATAATAACGTAATCAGCACCTTTTTTTAATCACTCACTCCTGGATACGGGCTAAGGAGGATCAGGCCATAATCCAACACGCTGGCCAAGTGCGAGTTGACAGACTTCATATCTTTCGAAAACTTGCTATGTTCTCTCAGATATGTAGGTTTTTACTAGTGATAATTAATTTGAAAATGATTCGCTCATTAAAATATCAGAGGTGCACGACCCGGGATTCGAGTCCGTTTCAATTGGTTTCCCAAGCGAGCGCATTGCCACTTCACTACTACTACTCAATATTATAATACTGGGAAGAAGACCTACTGATATTATAAACTAGCTGACCCGACGGATGTTTTCCTGTTAAAATTTCAGTTTAACTTTTTTCCGCTGTAAATCTTATTGGGACTACTACACGAATAGTTAGAACGTGTCAAGTAGTTTCAATACGATACTAGTCTATTTTAAATGTACCTGGACTTGGTTAAGCGAAGTGAGACATTTTAAATGATATGACATGAAAGCAATGACTGAATAGGTTTTTGTTATTAGCTATTATTGTCATCCATTATCATTTTATAAATTAGTATGTTAATAAAAAAATAATAATTTTATAATATATTATTCCAGGTGAAGCAAGAGGGACAGAAACCGACGACAGAAACACAGGGGCCTCCTCCACCTCCGACCTCTCAATACTATCTACCACCATACATGCAAGCACCGCATTATGGGGCTTTGCCCTTCGATCCTGTATACAGAGCACCCTTAAGCCCTATGCTAGTCGGGGGCTTCGGTGGCGGTTGGACGGTGCCCAGATACCACGCCCCGGAAGACCTATCCCGACCAGGAGCACCAGGGAAGCTCGAACTATTACCTGGCCACGGACAGTATGCGTATGGGGCTCATAATGCGCATGCGCAACACAAAATACATGAGCTGCAAGAGCATGCCAAGTCGCCCCAAGGGAAACCCCCGAGGCCGGAGCCCCCAAAGGAATCCCCGCGGTCCCCGCCGCCTCAGAGACACGTGCACACCCATCATCATACACACGTGGGGCTCGGCTACCCGCTCTACCCACCGCCATATCCCGGTACGTTATAGTGTACGAGACAACTAATCATTAACTCATTCGCTTTTATAATACTAATATTTGATCTTTTGATTTTTTGACCAACTGCAATGTCAGTCAAGCGATCAAAACTTGTTTGTTGGCTGTTACTTTATAAGTTTTATGATTTGCCTGTTATATTGGGTTTGTTTAGTTTTACATTCAAATTTATCAGTTTTTCATTTTCCTCGAATACATCTTTCTTGTTCCGATCTGACCCCTCTAATATAGCCGTGTGTTGCTTGCAGGGGCGCGATAGCATTCGGCCGAAAAGCGGCCGAGCCCCGCTCAAGTGTAACTTCCCACTAGAAAGATGTCATTCGGGAAACATGATGCTGAAAATTTTAAATAAAAAGACTATAATAGAAGATTTATTACAGCGGCCGCCGTTCTCGCGAGCACGCAAGCTGTGGTCAACTCTTTCCCGACACCACCTAAATGAGTCAACGCGAATATTACCTTCAGGAACAGACGATGACTTTTCGTCGACAAAATGTACCGACGATGGACCCAATTGTGAGAATCGAATCGCTCAATCGATAAACTATAATCGGAATAATCAGATGTGACAGTGACATTAGTGAGACTATCGCGAAAACCAAAACTGTGGACAAAAGTGATTATCGATGCCAGTAGCCATAATTAAACACTGTGATCTCGTGACCCACGTATGTGTGTGTGCTTTGGATGTTCAACAATGTGAAAATGTGAACTAATAGTTACCTGAGTGTTGTTTCGGACTCCTATGAATGTTGTGGACGTGTTTCAAACGACGGTTGAAATAGATATCGGACTGTACGTCGTAGTTATACATTAACTAGAGGAAGCACAAACTAAAAACTAGTTTTGTAAATATTAGTGTTATATGTAAATTACCCTATTATTATTAGTGTCCTTTTAAATCGATATTGTATAGAACATCGAATCCTCTCACTGTCCGGGCGTTGTACTGATGTTTGGAGCCCTGTGAAATTATATGAATACTGAGATCTTTATTTATAAAACGGCATTCCACAAAAACAAAGTCGAACGTATATAGTTGTTTAAGATTAATCTATATTTAAGTAATATTGAGTAAGTGTAAAGTCTATGTGATCATCGTAAGTCGTAAGGTCGTACGGTCGCACGGTCGTACGGTCGGACGAGTCGTAGCGTGCACAAATCGTACTCTATCCTGAGACGATACTGTTCATAAGTAGAGAGCATTCTATAGTACTGTGGAGTGTTTCGAATATCGCTGTGCGTGTCTGTCTGTCTGTCTGTCTGGCTTTTAATGATAAATATAAAAATCTCATAGTCCGATATTCTCAAATACAAGGGATTAGCGTTTCCAAACTTTTCTGTACTGCACTGTAGTTTTAGCGATAAATATAAACGTTATTTTTTGTTATACTGAATGTTTGTTAGAAGCATTGATTTAACTTTAACAAAAGATAGTCTTCCAGTCGAATGTTTTAAGCGACTGTTGTGATTCTGTATGAATTGTGTTCGCACTTCAATTCTGTGGGCAGCTTCATATATTTAGTTCGGTGATTAACGCCGAACTAAGTACACATAACTGCTCTAACGTTTTAGACGAACAATCGTCACTAGTTGGCACATAAGTGTTATTTTAAGTATATTTATAGACGAGTGAGAGAACCGTCGATCGATCGCATTTCTTAAGTAGTGGAACCTCTGTAATAGAAGACGTTTGTATGTAGTACTCACTATTGTTTAAAGAGGTTATTTGATGTACGCGTGTACCTGTTTTCAGAAATAAAAACCGAGATTGTAAAAAATTGTGGGGCCTAATATTTTGTGTTTTCTATGGGAATCTTAATAGATTTTCCACTACCGATTTTTTTATTCAGTGTTTTAATGCCTTTGATTTTTAAAAAAGAAACTTGTGTTAATTAAGTTTCTATATAGGTTCTGAATGTTACAACAGCGGCAATATGTACATATTTTACTTATTTTCAATCGTATATTTATATACAAAAATAATGTACAAATTATTGAGGGTTTTTGTAAAATTACTTTTATGATAAAATTTTTGAAGTTGAGTTGAAAGGCATTAAAACATGACCACATTTGATTGATTCAAACTTCTATTTTTATAAGAAACAACTTGATCTTTCAAATTGAGAGAATTTGAAGCTTTTTATTATGTTTAGATGAACGAGCTGAGTTAGTCTCGTGCTGCATTGATAGATTAATAGACTGATGATTACTTTGTATCAATCGGCGCGGACGTAGCCGTAGCTAGGAACGCTGCAAATATCAAACACAATGTTAGATATTAAAAAAAAATATGTTGCTTTTTTTGCTGTTTTTATTATAGCACGTAGATGTGGTGTTAAATTACACATTTTCTTAACAAAAAATTGACTAAAATAGAAAATTTTGCACATCTTTCTTGACTCATTTTGTAATAATACATAACATTAACTACAATATCTTCTTCAACATATTGTACTTATTTAAGAAATTGTTGAAACCGATGTGTAGTTTAGAAATTTATAAATCACGGAGGCTTAGGCAAGGTGCCATTCAACAGGTACTGTAGAATCGATATCTATGGGATATCCATATAAAATATATGGTAATGACGTATTATGATTTTATCACGTAACGATTAGTCATTTTAATACAATTTTTAAATATTCTTCAACGATTGTAGAATTAAGAATATTATCTTGTTTAAGCCCAATGACGTGCTATGAATTTTAATTTTTCAATTAACATATTGGACGCTGTTCATTAAAAATAAAATATTTGCTTTATAGTTCTGTGATGTTTGATATTATTTAGTCCAAATATTTATTGTTAAATAAATAATTATTGGAACAATCCTAGCTATGGTTATGACCGCGATGTCGAGACATTACGCTTTCATTATTTTGTATGGTACCAGTGACTTGGTAAGCAACACGATGTTGCATTATAATGTATCGATATATCATTTGTGTATTTTTTCGATGTAAGTAAAACCAAGTTTGATTTCTTAGAAAAGAATTCGAGACGTTAAAAAGGAATAATAAAGATAAATTATTTCTTAAGAATGTGTTTTATTTCCTTTTCCCCTTTGTATAGCTATAATTAATAATTAAATTGCTTGTATATATTGGTATTTTTAAGCCCATAATATAAGCAAAGTAAAAATAATAAATATTATAAATTTTATTTCCTCAGCTTTTTTCTTTTTGGGTTTATTTATTTTCGAAACGTTTGAACCGATTTTAATGTGACTTTTACGGATTGACAGGTTTTTTTTATTTTTATCCTGGAAAATGAAATAATTTACTGCAGTATAACAATCATACGTTGGTCTAAAAATTAAAAAAAAAATCGAACTATGAAAGATAAAAAATTTACATTTCTGCTACATGTTAACTATTATTGAAATTAAGTGGAGCTACAGGCAAAAGCTTGGAATTATTAAAATTAAAATTTAAAGAAATTTTTAGAACAATAAATAGATGAGATAAAAATGAGTGTTCATTAAAGACTACTAACTTCTTGAAACGTAAATTTAAGAAAAATCCAGAGATTACCCCCTGCAACGTCACAAACTTTACTTCTTTGTAATATTAGTATAGATAATGATTAGCCTTAACTTGTAGCATCTGCATGTCTGAGAGTACCTAACAAGTTTTTGAAAGACACGTAAAGTCCGCCAACCCGCACTTGCCCAGACTCTAGCGTGGTGGACTATGGGATCCTCCTCTCACTGAAGGTAGGCATGTGCCCAGCAATAGGACGTTATAAAGGGCTAAATAGTTGTATTTACACTTTACTTTTTTTACATTTACAATACAACCTAGAGCTGATAGAGGCTTTGGAATTCTGTTGTATCAACACGTTCATAGAATAAGTAATATGTAAGTAAATACCTAGTTTTATATAGCTCTTTCTATAATATGTTCTTTATCCTAAAATTTACCTCTTACCTTACCTTACCTGACCTTAGGCTGTCTAATTAAATAAGGCACGATTTTAAGTTTTTTTTTATAATAGCTTTCAGCGTTTGTTGAGCTAAAGTTGCTTTTAATTCTTTGTCGTTTAGACGTGAGAAATTGTTCGGTTCAAAATTTTATATCTATATTATAACATTTTCTATTGGATGTTTTGTTTTAATTATATGCCCTTTAATTGTTAAGAACTTATACATTTTCATGCAAATATCTATCAACAAATAAATAATATTCTACTGCTGTAGCACAGATCATATAATATTACAAAAATTAAATAGTAAAAAGTTTGAAATTATTTAATACAAATACACCGTAAAACTGAACGTATTCAAACCGTTTTAAATTTTAACTGAACTTCGCCATATTCATTCTACATATAGGTGATACAAATTAGGTAGGAGTGCTGTGTAAGATAAGTGGAATGTTTCGCATCTTCTTAGTAAAGATTGCAACTTGAATATTTAATAGTGAATTCATTGGTATATTTTGAATTTTTGTCGTACACTGACCATGTTAGCTGCTACTGAGTATAAATATAACCTAGTAAGTTAACTAAAATATTAAACTTTCTATTTATTTTTCTTTGTATTGTATTATTGACGATACGTTTGACTCAGCTTTAGTGTAGCCAGCGGTGGCGGGTTCGAGTTCCGCTGGCTGGCATTCATTTGTGTGATGAGCACGAATGTTTGTACTCTAGTCATGGCTGTTTATATTTATAATGTGTATGTATATAAAGTTATATATGTGTAGTGTATCAACTATCTGGTATCCATAACACAAGCCTCGTATGGAACTACATGATGCTGTGTAATGTCCCAACATATTTGTATATTTATTTGTGACACATCTTCTGAATTATTTTATTTTGGTCTGTGGTTATGAGTGAAAATAGATTTAGTCTAATATAGTATTTTTATATCTGGTTTTAGCCTTACATTAAGGTTTTTAAGGTAAAATTAATTGAATACTTAATTACTGTCTGCTTGATATACTCGTATTTATGTTTATTTGTAAATTTTTGTTTTTAACCCCCGACGCAAAGAGGGGAGTTATGAGTTGACGTGTGTATCTGTGTATCTGTGTGTCAGTCTGTGGCACCGTATCGCCTAAACGAATGGACCGATTTTGATGTGTTTTTTTTGTTCGAAAGCTGACGTGATCGAGATGGCTCTTAGGTATAATTTATGAAGATTTGTTCAGGCGTTTGATGATCATCAGCTCATTTCCTACTTAATGAAAGGGTCTTACTAACTTTTACAGATCCGATTGACTTGTAGTGTACTGTTATTACTTTCCAAGACATGCTGCCTTGAGCTGATGCTGTAGCGTTAAATAGTCTGCGGCATGTTTAATTCCTCAGAAGCTTACAGCAGATATAGCGTGTTTGGGCTCATAAGAATAGTCTCCATGAGAGTTACCTATTAGAATTAGTGTCCGCGAGTAATTTAAAAACAATGAAATGATTTTTTTTTTGTGTTTTTTTTTGTGTTGGGGGTTACTTAAAATTTTTAATTACTAATTCTAGCTGCAACTTTATTATCTATACATATAATAAAATTGTAACTAAGGCGAATCTGTACATTAAATATTTTTTGGAAAATCTTATTGAAATAAACATTATTATCGAAAAAGAGGCCGAATCTATAGTTTTTAGATTTTTTGTCTGTCTGTCTGTTACCGGATCACAAAAAAACCACTGGAGGGATTTTGATTAAATTTGGTTTAATTATATGTATAGACTAGCATTGCCCGCGACTCCGACCGCGTTCAGATGACGAAAAACTAAATTCTTAGGTTTTCTATATTAGTACACTCTTACATTGCAGTTTTTGTATTTTTTCTCAGAAATGACATATTTTTCCGCGGTAAAAAGTAACCTATATGTTGACCCGGATAACCAGGTATCACCATACCAAATTTCATCAAAATCCCTCCAGTGGTATTTGTGATGCGGTAACGGAATATAGTATGAAATTCATGTAGAGCTTGTAGGTGCAAACTGCGAAAAGTGTAAATAATATGAAATCTAAATCAGTAGGTGATAACCGAAGGAGCCGCGGATCGATTTTGATAATAATTACTGCATTATTAGATTTTTAGAAAATCAAGTTTCCTAGCCGTAGTCAGAAATCGAACCTATATTATTTATATAGATAAGAATAGCGCTGTTTATAAGGATGGGGTTCTGATAAATAATACGACTTTAATTAGAAGCGAAAAGCGGTTACCAATTAAATGTAGACGTGAAAAGCTTTAGAAAAATATAGTTTAAAAACAAATATGAATAAACAGCATGTGGGTACAAGGTTGAACTAAATTCATTTATAAATATCATCATATATAATCATACATAGTTAATCAGCATATATTTGGTTTTCATTAGGGTTCTATATTGTTATAAATGAAGTTTTGTTCTTCGTTATTTATTTTATTTCTTGTAGTTTATTTAGTTCGTTAAATAGAAAAGGTTCAGCCAGCATTAGCTAAGTAAATTTCTAAGTACAACTCGAAAGAACCAGTTATTGTATTTTCATTTAGGACTGAAAGATAAAATTATGAAGAAGAAATAAAAATTATTAAATTATTCTAAAGATATACCTTGAAGTCTTTACATTATAAAGTCTCTTAAGATTCACCTCGAGATGTTCCTCACCTGTCTAAAGATAAAAGGTTTGAGGAAATAAGTGCTCAAGGCGCAAAAGAAAATAGTTTTTAACAGGAGTAGGTACATACTCAATATCATTTTTTGAAATCTATATAACATTCTGAATAATATTTTTCCTTAAGAGATAATAATTTGTTTCAATATGCACTAGCGTATTATTAAAATACAGGATCATACTCGCATCATTAAAAAAAAACTCTTCATAGCGGGATTTGTGAATAAATAAGTGACGCTCCATGTTATTATCACTATTGACTGTTTATGTTAGATAAGAAGCATAATTTATGAGATAGTTTAGATAGTTGCATGTTGAGCAGCAGTCAAAGCATTACTCCTTATCAATAGTTGTCAATTAGACACAATAAATATGCGAACCTTCCACGGTTTTTCATTTAACACCTGTCAATATTCAATTATAGTCGGGGTCACTGGCGTTTTCAATTCGTAAACATTTTATTATTGTTATTTACTGCTTGTTTGCTAGAAATTTTATGTTTAGTTGATATATGTTTAATTTTTTTTATACCTTCATAAGTATTTTTTTAATTGTTTACAGATGGAGGGTACATTCATTTTGTTGTTTTTTGCGGCATTATTGGTGAGCACTGAAGCCCTTAACAATGGTTTAGCTCTGACGCCACCGATGGGTTGGCTGACGTGGCAAAGATTTAGGTGTATTACAGATTGTCAAAAATATCCAGATGAATGTATCAGGTTAGCATTTATTATTATGTTTTTAACCTCCGATGCAAAAGAGGGTTGTTAACATGTTCTGTGTGTCTGTCTGTGGTATCGTAGCCGGTAGCGGCCAAATGGATGAACCGATTTTAACTTAGATTTTGTTGTTGGAAAGGTGACTTGACTTAATTCGACTTAGTTATAAATCAAGAAAATTCGTCAGTCGTTTGCAGGCCATCCGCTCTTTTCTAGGTAGTAAAAGGATATGAGTCACTTCCACAGATCTAACCCATTCGAATATTGGTATACCGTTACTTGAGTGATGTTGCAACGATATGATATCCTTGGTCTGATGCTGCAGCGACACCTGGAATCTGCAAGATACTAAAATCTTTACTAACATACTGTAGAAATATCGTGTTTATGCTGATTGAAACAAACCTAAATGATTAAGTTATGACTTATGGGGGGTTATTTAAATTTTTTATTTAATTTTTTGTTTCATTACTTAATATAACGATTTACAATAACGATGGTCTATTTCTATTTACAATCTTGTCACGACTAAACTATTCTCGATAAAACCGATAACGATACAATTTAATACATAATTTACCATTTGAAGATGATAGTTTGCGAATTGCCAGTTATCAGGTGTTTGATGTAAATGATTGCTCGATTCCTTTTTTATTAGGTTAATTTTTAATTTTTGATTTATTTTAAATCCTAAAAAGTAAAAACTATAATTTACGGGGAAAAAAGGAAAGTCTTAATTATTTTTTGGGTTCAAGCTTAGAACAGGGAAGAAAGTACGACTGTTTTATTTAGTTAAGAACTGCTAAGTCTAAATCCGGAGTTCGGGAAGTGAATTTTTGAAATTAAAAAATTCCTCACAAGCACACACAAAAGCTGCCAGCCATATGTGCCACATGGCTGATGTATGAGTTAGTCCAGATTCTTCACTACGTTATAACCCGCGCAAAATCATTCAACATTTTCAACCGACTTGCAAAAAGGAGGAGGTTCTCAATTCGACCGTATATATTTTTATTTTTTTTATATGTGTTCAGGGATAACTTCGTCGTTTACGTTAAATCAGTTTTATTTTCATACAGTGAAAACCTGATAAAGCGTACAGCAGATATTATGTTACGAGAGGGTTATTTAGACGCTGGATATAATTACGTGGGGATAGACGATTGTTGGCTAGAGAAAGATCGGGATGAAAATGGCCGTCTAGTTCCTGATCGGGAAAGATTTCCTAATGGCATGAAAGCTGTTGCTGATTATGTACGTAAGATTAGTTAAATTATTTTATTATTATATGTATAAATTTCTTCTGTCAACGGTCAGAAAGTAGTGACTAGCGTATTTTTACTAGATTTGGATTAGAATCAAAAGTTTTGATTCATAAAACAACTGATAATAGGTATATAAATACCTAATACAAAATATAATTTTACGTATTTTCATGCAAATTGAATATTTACATTTGCGTATAAAGTACTTCAAGCGTGACGAGAAGGAATATGTTGGTGTTTGTAACAGTTTATCTTTACATTTAAAGAAATAAGTTTTTTGTAAGGTCATATAACATAAGTCATATCAGTATTATTGTTGTATGATTGTATGAACATATTATTAGGTTTTTAAATATTACTGAAATTATAATATTTTGCCTTTGCTGCAATATTTTGATAAAAAAAATAATTTACATAATAAATTGCTTTCTAAATTGATGTTGGACTTAACAAAATATTTATCGTACTCACTATTGGTGGCGAAGTATTTGGTAATACCGGCTGTACACTCTCGCCGATATACTGTGTAGTGCAAGGCTGTCCTCGATGTGAGGCAAGACCATTCTCTCCTTCGCCTCGCCTGATTGGTTCGGCATCCATTTTTCCTCAAGGAAAAGGGTCTCGGATAACCTCGTGGTCGGTATCTACTTTGTAACAGAATAAACGAGAGCTCTCGGGTACTCGCCGCACTTGGACGGAAGTGTACAGGCGCCTTATGGTCTTACTTTATCTTAATATATATCATGTTTACTAGGAGACGAGGCGAACTAATCACACGTGTATACAGAGATTAATAATTTTATTATATTTTCATTTTATGTTTGTTTTGTATGATTTTTTTTGCAGCTTCACGAAAGAGGTTTTAAGTTTGCCTTATACCAAGATTATGGTAACAAAACGTGTGCTGGTTACCCTGGTGTATTGGGTCATGAGGATACTGACGTCAAAACTTTTACCGATTGGGATGTTGATTACATAAAATTAGATGGATGTTACGTGAATGTAACTAAAATGGATTCTGGTAAGGATTTTTGATTTAGTGTAGAAATTGAAATATTGCAAATGAAGCCTTAGTAGTTAAGAAATTTTAGTTATGATTTACATTTTATTTTAATTATTGAACCGACTTTAAAAAAAGGAACAGTTTCTCATTTTGGTAGTATTTTTTATGTTTGTTACCTCAGAACTTCGTCATTGATTAACCGATTTGAAAAAATCCGTTCCGTTTGGTCCCATTTAAATTTGAAGAAAAAATACTATCTTTAAGGGTGGAAAAATGGCTAATGAAAATTTAACCTTCTAATTGTCATAATGACTTGAAACTTTGCAAGTGTTTGCATTTCCGGTGATAGTGCAGTGATTCGGTAATGTTGAGCTGATTTGGTGGTGAAGCCAGAAGGTGGATTATGGAATTCTTCAATGGTCTAATACGTTAGAATTCGATTTCGAGAGCTTGGTTTTTACTAATAAAATAGAATTTTAGTTTAAAGCTTTAAGTCGTATTTTATTAAAATATTTCTTACAAAACTACTATGTCTACTCTAAAAATGTAAAAACAATTAAAAATCGACTTCCAGACACTAAGAAGTAAAAAAATAACGCACGAAGGCAGTGATAGCCCATTGGTAACGTGCTCACTTGGGTAACCGAGTGAAGCGAGTTCAAATACCGGGTCTCGCACTTCTGATATTTTCATGTGCGAATCATTTCCAACATGATTACCATTTGTCTTAACGGTGAAGGAAAACATCGTGAGGAAACCTGCATGTCTTAGAGAACTTAGCAAGTTTTCGAAAGACAGGTTAAGTCCGTCAACCCGCACTTGGCCAGCGTGGTGGACTATGGCCTGAACCCCTCGTATTGAAGGGAGGCCCGTGCCCAGCAGTGGGACGTTAAAAAGTGCTGAATACAAATCACTAGTTATAGCATATAGTCTAATTTTACAATGTTTGCTAAGAGATAATACTTTGCAGGTTATCCGTATTTTGGCAGATTAATGAATGAAACTGGAAGGCCTATGGTCTATTCGTGTAGTTGGCCAGCTTATCAAGACAAGGTAGGTATTATGATGAGGTATACTGAAATAAATAATTAACCTATACTAATATTATGAAGAGGTAAAGTTTGTGAGTTTGTAACGTTGTAGGGGTATAGATGCAATTAGAGTAGAATTAGAATTAATAAATAAAATCGTGTGTTTCACGTTGCTTAGATTTTTTACAATGTAACTTTTGCTAGATTGCTATGTAATTTAATGTAAATTAAAATCAATTGTTTTTAATTTTATGAACAAAAAATATTTATCTTTATAAATCGTTAATTAAAAATAATATATTTATATATATTTTAGCCAGACTACTCTTCCATTGCAAAGCATTGCAACTTGTGGCGGAATTGGGATGACATCGACGACTCGTGGAGTTCCTTGACTAAAATCATGACGTGGTTCGCTGAACATCAAGATGATTTTGTACAATATGCTGGACCGGGAAATTGGAATGATCCTGACATGGTATACTTAATATTATATCTTTCTACTATATCACTTGATAATTTATATAAGCTTTAAGTACAAATGTTACTAAAAATGCAATTTTAAATATATATATCTTGGTAGATACTAGCGACTTAACCTCGCTTCATTCGGGTGCAGTCCCTTTGTGCCTAACAGTAGCCTACGTGTTACGCCAGGCAGGGCTCGGAAACTCGTTTAATGTTTAAACCGGTTTTGGTCATTGACCTCAAACTGAAAGGCTTTTCGGTTTAAGGTTTTGGTTACAATCTTTAACCGGTTAAATCGGGGAGAAGGATTTTGACGAATTTAGGTTCCATGAACTAAATTAACCTGTTAAAATGAGTTTTTGTGTGTTTACATTTGGCACGTCTTTGCCAATGGTGAATGGCTTAGTAGAAGGAAGTATGCACATTTCTTACTTATGAATAAATTAACCGGTTTATTTCGGTATCAAAACCGAAATCCAACCTTCCTCTAAGAAAAACCGTTAACCATTATTATTTCGGTTTACTAAACCGTTCATTTTCTTCTAAACGTTTTTTTTAATCGTTTCCAAGCCCTGACTCCAGGTCATAAAAAAGTAATAAACATACACACACATACGCGTTCACATATATAATAATAATCCAATTACGAGTAATATTAGTCTTATTCTATCATAGTAACTATAAGTATATTGTTTTAGCTCATAATAGGCAATTATGGATTATCTTTGGATCAAGCGAAAGTTCAAATGGCAGTGTGGTCGATATTAGCTGCACCGTTACTTATGAGTGTTGATTTAGCTAAAATCAGACAAGAGTATAAAGATATACTTCTAAATAAAGAAATTATAGCAATTGATCAAGATTCATTGGCAAAGCAAGGTTTGCGAGTGTGGAATAAATCAAAATGCGAGGTAAATACTCATATAAGGTAGATACTATTTTTTTTGCCTATATTTTTTATATGCCTTATTATCTAGTAAGAGTATGATACAAAAGTTATTCTGTAAAAGTTTAATTTGAAAGACAATATAATATTTTCATGCCATTTATCTTATCTGACGAAGAGAAGCCGATTAGGATGTGGATAGAACCCAGATAGAAATTTTACAGAATTTACAAAACAACTTCTGGTAGCCAAAATAACTAAAGAAAACGTGAATTTAGGAAATTAATAACAAAAGCACGGTTCCCGAGTATTCTAATGTATTTAAGTTATTTTTAATTATTTTTTCGATTTACTTAAGATTTGGACCCGAGAGCTGTCAGATGAATCCTACGCAATCGCATTTGTGAGCCGGCGAGACGACGGCGCACCGTACTCTTTAAAAGTTTCCTTCGAGGATATGAAAATTCCAATGCAATCATATAAAATTCAGGTACTTTTTGTACCTCCCTTAACTATTATTTTAAAATTAGAAATTATATAATAAATTTGAAAATTAAATAATAAGCATAAATAATAAAATAAATTATTTAAATTTAAGAAGGAAAATGAATTAGGTATCACAATGTTTATCTATGAATATCCTATGATCCACGTATCGATGTCTTCTGACACCAAACATTAAATTCATATAGAATTTATGAAATCAAAAGTAGCTAAATACACCAAAATTAATTAAAATATTGAAAATGAAGGACAAAGTTAGATTCGCGGTCGCTAATTGTATCTTCCTATAAGTATAAAGTACCGTATATAGTTTCATATGCATTAATTAATAAGCTGTTATTTTGATATTACAAACAAATATTTCAATTATTTATCTGTGTGTATAGATCTATATTAGTATAAATCTATTTTATTAATAATCTAAATTTTTAGTAATAAATTATTGTATCTATTTAATAACGATACTGTTTTATCTATAGATATAATCCGCATATTTTTAGGATCTTTATAAAGAAGAAGAGGAGCGCAGTTTCGGACCGGAAGGTGACTTCGAGACGAGAATTAATCCGTCAGGTAAGTTGATTTATTGACATCCTTAATAATATTATAAATGAGAAAGTATGTCAGTATCTAATATCTATCCGTGACATTTTCACCTTCAAACTTCTAATCTGATTTTGATGAAAATTTGTTCTAATGTGGAAATTTTTTTTAGTTTATGGATATCGCAAAATGTAAATACCTAGGTTGCTTACTTCTTATACCGCACACTGATAAATAAAAAAAAAACAAATATTTATAGAAATTAAAACCCGACTGCGTAAAAAGCGAACTAAAAAGATAGAAACAAGTTGACGAATTTTGATTTCTATTTATTTCTATATAGATTATAACACTCATTATCAAGATGAATTAAACGATGTATAAATCATCAAAATCGGTGAAGCCGTTTAGTAATTATGAGGGAACATAGGATCAGAAGCACATATACTACATACATACATATGTATATACATTAAACAACATATACAACATACAGGTCAAAAACATAATCCTCCTTTGGGCTTTGCCGCAGTCGGGTAATACGCTAGTGATTCGTTAATTTGCGTATCTTTCATGTACATAACATGAAGGATGCGAATTATCTTAAAAAACAAAGAATTCCGATTTCCCTGTAGGTATAAAGTTGAATTAAAACTAAAAGTGATAAATGATTATAAGTATATTAAGTATTTACTATTTAGTTTAAAAATAATAATTATCTTCTCGATATTAACAATGAGTTAACAGTCTCTGAGACACTGACATGCATGATACAACACTGCCAGCTCCGTAAAACGAGCTTGCTCTTAGGTATTTACTTATCATTTTATATTGTTGCAGGTGTAAAGTTTTACAAGTTTATTACGCAGAAATCCAACATGGTTAAATAACAAAGTAGTACCTATTTTACAAAATTAGTAATTACTAGTTATTTGAAATTAATAATTAATTATGTATATATTAGGAGACCTGTTTGGCTCATTTTGTAGTGACCCAACTCGCTGTGACAGCGGTCGCGGATTTGAGTCCCGCTGGAGGCATTCATTTGTATGATGAGCACGAATGTTTATATAACCCAATCATGGGTGTTTATATGTATAAGTATTATGTATGTAATTGTATGTATTTAAAGTTTTATATGTCTAGTGTATCAACTATCTGGTATTCATAACACAAGCCTCGTAGCTTACCATGGAACTAGATGGTGGTGTGTGTTAATGTCCCAATAAAAATGTATTTTTTTAAGTATTATAGTATTTTAATGTTACCCAGCCAAGTCTTTGTTGAAACTGAGTGTTAATTTAAACAGAATATTTCATCACTTCAAAAACTTGTGTAGGTATGTAAAATATTTTTTATTATTATTAACCTCTCTGAGGATCAGCAATTTATATTTATCTTAATAATAAAAAACAATAAATATTTTATTTATATTTTAATCATAATAAACATTAATAGCGAAAACCATTTAGTTACTATGCATATCTTACTAGAAACTAGAAAGTATTTTCAACGTCCTATTATCAGGTTTATTACCTATATTATGTTAGGTGCATTATTCACGTTTTGCACAAATTTTAAACTATGAAAAGAATTAATATCAAAAGCAATTTAACTACTACATTGTTTATAATGATAGTCAATATTTAATTCGAAACTGGTTAACTAATACTGGGTCAAGCATGGCGTGATAACCGTTAGCGAGTGAAAGTGGATGGTACCTACGTAAAGGAATTTATAGATTTCATACCAAATTCACTGTCGGATTTTTAAGCTTAATTTTTTGTTTGTTACCTACGGTGTATGCCAGCTGATGTAACTATATCACCGGACGATAGATAAGGCACAAATCGTATCTGTTTTTAACCCCCGACGCATAAACGACGGGCTGTTACAAGTTTGAGGTGTCTGTATGTATCTATTTGTTGTTTGTGGTATTATTGATCGTAGCTCCCGAACGGGTGAACTGATTTTGATTTTGTTTTTATTGTTTGAAAGGTGAATTAGTTGGGAGTGTTCTTAGCTATCTTTGATGAAAATCGGTCCAACATGATCGGGGATTTTTTAAATTTTTAATAAGATTCATTACTCCGAATACAAAAGGTACCTAAAACTTGTTTATACTTGTGATTTATGAATACGTATTTATTTGCGTCTCCCTTTGTATGGGCTAAGCGAGGTCGAGCCCCTTGAATTAAATAGTTATTTGTGATGTGTTGAAGGTATATACAATCTACATTAGTCACATAAATATGATATAAAATTGTACACACTAAATTTCAAATAATAATATATGACCAAGAGTACTTTGAATAAACATTTATATAACATGGCGCAATTATTATAAAGTATTGCAAATAAAATATCCATAAACTTTAATGGAGTAGGTACTTATATTATTATTATATGAAGTCATACACAGTTTCCCAAAATCTTTTTGAATTGCATCAGATAAAAAATGTAATCTGAAATGTTTAAGATAACTTTGGTCTTTGTGTTCAATAAATTTTCAAATGATAATTTTTTTATCATTTGTATAACATACCTAACATATGTTAAACTCATACTACTAAATATTTGAATTTAAAAGGTAGGAAGTCCAAAAAAATCGGTCATCAATAAATTTTATACCGACCACGTTTAATATTTATAAAAATTAAATAATTTGAAGCAAAAATACGTAACTTTTTTTTATTTTTGGAGCTTATTATATTAATTTTTTGTTGATAATGAACCATATATTTATTATAAACCATTGTATTTATATTATATTAGTATATATTTATATAACTCATGATGTTTAAAGTTTTGATTATAACAAGTTTAAAGTACACAAGACTATCAGACTAATACTACTTATGAAACATTAAATGTATCAATTTCGTAACGTAACTCTAACCGTCACGTGTCAAACAGATGACATTCAACTTCAAGTCAAATCACAAATGTGTGAAAGTCACACTACCGCAATTCGCATTGTCTTAACGCTTAATAGAAATTAAAACGGTTTTGGTTAAAAGCTTACAAAATTTGAATGATATTATACATCAAGTATAAAATTTTTGACAGATTTTACAGGAAATAATTATTTACTATAATTGAATGACACGTAACTAATGTTAACTTTTAGTCGCGTAAGAGTAAAAGAAAGTTGGTTACTTCCGCAGTAGGTCAATGGTACAAAAATTGCGTGCCGGCAACGTTAAGGACGGGCGAGTCGCTTCGTCATCAGGCAAACGTGCATTCGAGTGAAGATCCAAGCGGAGTCTCACTTGAGACGCGACGGGCGATAGTTGTTCATTTGTATTCTTTCGCATAATTAACGTGTTCATCGTGACCGTGAAAGCTATAATCGCGTCATTTTACCGTAATAATGGGCAATAAAGTAGAAAATGTTGGCATCCTGGCCATGGAATTATATGTTCCTTCACAATATGTTGATCAAGTTGAACTCGAAAAATTCGATGAAGTGGCCGCTGGAAAATATACCATAGGGTTGGGACAAAGTAAAATGGGATTTTGTTCTGATCGAGAGGATATCAATTCTTTGTGTCTCACCGCTTTGCATAACCTTATTCAGAAAAATAATATAAACCTTCATGATATTGGAAGACTGGAAGTTGGGACAGAGACTATTATTGATAAAAGCAAGAGTGTAAAAACTTTTCTCATGACATTATTTGCAAAAGAAGGCGCAACAGATATAGAAGGTATTGACACTACAAATGCATGTTATGGTGGAACTGCTGCGCTCTTCAATGCTATAAACTGGGTAGAATCTTCTTCATGGGATGGCAGAAAAGCTATAGTGGTTGCAGGTGATATTGCAGTGTATGGAAAGGGTCCTGCTAGGCCCACTGGGGGTGCAGGTGCAGTAGCTATGCTAATAGGGCCAGATGCACCATTGGTTTTTGATTGTGGAGTCCGTGCTTCTTACATGACTCATGCATATGATTTTTACAAACCAGATTTAGCATCTGAATTTCCTTATGTTGATGGAAAATTATCAATTCATTGCTATCTCAGTGCTTTGGATAATTGTTATAATTTATTCTGCAAGAAAATGAGAAATAAAGACCCCACTTTTAAGGGCTTATTAAGCTTAGATGGTATGTTATTCCATTCTCCATATTGCAAATTAGTTCAAAAGTCATTGGCTCGAGTGTGTTTCAATGACTTTTTAAATGCAGAAGAAAGTGAGAGAGAAAAGCAATTCCCTGGACTGTCACAGTTTAGTACTTACCAAAGAGAAAATACTTATTTTGATAGAGACGTAGAGAAAGCATTTATGACATACAGCAAGGATCTTTTTGAAGAGAAAACAAAACCATCACTTTATATAGCTCGCAATGTAGGAAATATGTACACATCGTCCTTATATGGTGGACTCGTATCATACTTAGTAAGTAAATCTGCAGACCAGCTGATTGGTAAAAAATTTGCCTTATTCTCATATGGTTCTGGCTTAGCTTCAACAATGTACTCTATTAATATCTGCAATGACATGAGTGCTGGCTCTAAACTAGAAAAACTAATTAACTCATTACATGAAAGTGTAGAAATGTTAAACAGAAGGATAAGTGTGGAGCCTCAGACTTTCTCTGATTTAATGCAAGTTCGAACCGAAAACTACCATACAGCTCCTTACGAGCCATCAGGCTCAATAGATGTTTTATTCCCCGGTACATACTACCTCAACAAAATAGATGACCAAAGAAGACGCACATATGATAGAAAACAATGAACAGTCGCTTAGTTCATTTTTCTTAGTTTATTTTTGTGCTGGTGTAGGACATTGTCAAATTAAAGGTTAACATTATTTATTTATATTTTTGTAGCTTTGTGCTATATAATTTTTATTCATTATATGTATATATATTTTTTAAATATATTTTTGTTATCTTCATTTATAATGGGCTAAGGTCATTTATAAATTCAAATATATTTCAAATGTTAAAAACCAGAAATTTTAGATTTAAAATTATAAATACTATCTAATCTATAATAATTACATTCAAAAGAAAACAAAGTTTTTATATTTGTACTGTAGAGATTATTGTTGTAATTATTATCTCTAAATAAATTGCAGTGCTTAAATATCATATATTTATGTTTGCATTTAAATTTGATTGTTTATTTATTATTTATTGTTAACAAGAAATGGAAAATTACTAATGAATATATTGGTGTAAATGAATTTTATTTTTAATTTATAAGTTATTTGAAGAAGAAAAAATGGTGCAATATTATTTGTGTTATTTTATTTTTCGAACATAATGCCACGCTATAGATAACACTTTCAAAGAGATATTTCATTCATTAATAACATAAATATTCAATTTCAATAATAAACAAGTGAAATTTTAGCATTAAATTGTGTCTGCTAAGCGACCAGTATATTTCTTTTTGAATCATGTCATAATTTACTTTAGTGCTGTTCAAAATCATGTCTTCGTCTTGTACCGTACACACAGTTTACATTAGCATAATTTTTTCATTGCCTCTCGTTCATTGCTTCTCGTAAAAAGTATTAGACATAAAAAAAAATATCTTGTAAGTTTAAACTCAAAGATTGAAGTTTTGTATATTTATCCATATGTTTTTAATACTAGTATATTTGCCTACGTGTTGAGTTTAGGGGTCACAGATTGAAGAATTATGCAACTAACATACTTATATTATTAGAATAATTTAACGGATTTTAAATTATTTTTGAGGCTCAATATACTAACTGCTAACCTACATACTAGTAACAGTAATTTATACTTAATTTTAACTTTCAAGTATTAACTTTTTGTAAAAGTTTATTATCCCGTGAGATTTGGGAATCAATGCCAGGATAAAAGTATCTTTGTTAATCTCTTTCTTGTCCTTCCCATACAATATCTTAATGCGAAAAATTACGTCGGTCCGTTGCTGTGTGAAAACGACAAACAAATACATTTTCAATATTATTAAGTAGTGAGGATGAGTGTTATTAATTAATAATGTGTGTCACGCATTTAAGCAGAATAGCAAGATTGGAATTTCTACATCAACGTGTACGTGATTACTAAGAGATAAAATATTTTTTTTTGTATTATGTATAGCACACCATGACATATCCATTATAATGCTTGATGCATAAGTTATGACTAATAAATTGTATTTACTCTGTTACAAGGTGAGGTTTTTAACAGGTAACGATCATAGGTACATACACCCATATACTTTTACTATTTGGACTTTGATACGCCTATTAAAAGTCATAAATACATATGTATATTTGTATATATTCATCGGGTTTGTTACAACACTTATAACTCGAGAACTGCTAGACCGATTTTTATTATCTTTATTTTGTTGGATTTGTCTTTACCCCGAATAGCAGAATAACTATTAAAACATCAGAAAAATTGAAGAAAAAAATAAATATAAAAATATCTATTCCATACTAAGCGTCAAAACGTACCTAGGGACGAACCTGGGTGAAGCGAGGGTGAATCGCTAGTAAATAATATAAGTGCAATGTATGTATCTTATATCTAACTAGCGGCTCACCCTCGCTTCGCTCGGGTTCACCTCTAGAAAAGCACAAACAGATCTATCCCACGGGAACCGTAAATTTTTCCGAGATAAAAATAAAATAAATAAAATAAAATAAGTAACCTGTTGTTTGACCTGCAATATAAGGTATCAGCATGCCAAATTTTACTAAATTAGGTGCATAAGTTGTTGTGTACTGAGCTGTATAAGTTACTATAATTTTTTAACTATCCCACGGGAACTCTTTAATTTTCCGGAATGAAAAGTATCAAATTTCATTTAAATAGGTTCAATAGTATCGGAGATTAGCCCGTACGAACAGACAAAGAAACAAAAAATTTGAAAAAATCTTGGATTTGTTCTATTTCTCTCCTTACGTGATTTAAAAAGAGAACTGACTTTTTTTTTTAAGCAGAGGTTTTTTAGCAATTTTTTCTACCATCTATGTACAGACATTCGACCTCTACAGTTTTATTATTCATACCTATATTCAGATAGAATAAATAACGTATAATAAAACAGAAATATATAATAATGAAAATAGTTATAGCGAGTGTACCTTAGGAGATAGAGATATACTATGCAGAACTTTTCTATAGACCTTTTTAAGACTTACAATTTTCTTGTACAATGTTTTGATCTATCTCTTAAGGTTGAGCCAACGTTAGCCATATAAATTTCTAAGGACAATTCGATAGAACCAGTTATTGTATTTTCCCATGGGAATGAATAATTTGCCTGTCGTAAAAAGTATTCTAATGTTGACCCGAGCACTAAGTTTTATGACTACACAAAATTAAGTTAAAATCGGTTGAGTACTTTTTGCGTGAAACACGCACATCGATTTGACTAAGTTTTATTATAGGTATAGATAAGAATAAATATTGCGAGTGTAACTTAGAAGATAGATATATACTTACTATTCACAACTTTTCTGTAGGACTTTTCAAGACCTACAATTTTTTAGTAAATTGTTTTGATGTATGTCTTAAGGCTTAGCCAGAGGAAGGTTTCTAGGGAGGACTCGATAAAACCAGTTATTGTATTTTCCCATGGGAAAGAAAGATTTTCTTTAAGTAAAAGGTATCTAGGCAGTGGTATCCCAGTGGTAACGCGCTCGCTTGGGAAACCGAGTGAAGCAAGTTCAAATCCCGGGTCTCGCACCTCTGAATATTTCATGTGCGAATAATTTCTAACACAGTTACCACTTGTCTTAACGGTGAAGGAAAACCTGCATGTCTGACAGAACCTAGCAAGTTTTCGAAAGACATGTGAAGTCCACCAACCCGCACTTGGCCAGCGTGGTGGACTATGGCCTGATCCACCTCGTACTGAAGGGAAGCCCGTGCATGTGTTAAAAAGGGCTGAATACAACATACATACATACAAAAGGTACCCTAAATGTTGATTCGAGTAATAAGTTATCACTTCACCAAATTTCGTTGAAATTGGTACAATACTTTTCGCGCGAAACGCACACACAAAAACAGACATACAGGCAAACAGACAAACAGGCATTTTTTTTAATAACTATTGTTTTGGGGTCTATGTTGTGTATGATGATGATGATGTTCTCCTAGCCGATTCCGGCTACGGCGGCCAATCTCATTGAGATGAGCCAACTGCGCAGGAGATATTATAGTGCTCAAGTGTACGCGCAGACACAAGTGCACTCTCTATTCCTATCACTCTCATACTCCGGTGGGACGACCACTCGACACGACCGGTGAGAGTTAAGGCGCAGGACCGACGGCTTTACGTGCTCTCCGAGGCACGGGGGTGAAACACCGCCAACTTTCCAACTCCGGGCTGTTACTGAGACTTACTATACAGAAAGACTCAATAACTAAACTGGGCCCGACCCGGGACTCGAACCCAGGACCTGCGGGTGTGCAGCCGTACATGCTAGCCACTACACCACCGAGGCAGTTAAGATGTTGTGTACATAATACGTTACAAATAAACAAAAATATCTATCCCACGGGAGAAGTACATTTTTCCGGTATCCACAGTTACCTATTCGTTATTCTGATGTATGAACTATATTATTGTAAAGTTTCCTTAAAAATCCAATCATTGGTTTTTGCGTACTAAGCTGTATAAGTTACTATGGTTTTTTGACTATCCCACGGAAACTCTTTAATTTTCCGGGATGAAAAAGTAGCTGATTTGTTTTTGTCATGTATGAACTATATTATTGTAAAGTTTCATTAAAATCCAATCAGTAGTTTTTGTGTACTAAGCTGTATAAGTTGTTACAGTCTTTTAACTATCCCACGGAAACTCTTTAATTTTCCGGGATGAAAAGTATCTAAGATGTTGCCCGGGGATATAAGGTACCACCATGCAAAATTTCATTTAAATAGGTCCAATAGATCCGGAGATTAGCCCGTACAAAGAGAAAAACAGACAAACAGCTCGCTCAGGTTCGTCCATACCTACGAATATGTTGTATTATCTCTAACCATTTGTCCAAATTATATGCAGTAAAAGAGAAAAGTCTTTTATTTTAAACATTTTAGATGATAAATTTACTTATTTTGATAAGAATTCATAATTGTTGATAATATGACCAATAAACATGACCTACCGGTTTAAATGATTTTTTTAATATAATAAACTACTTTTTGTGACTTAAATATAAAAGTTAGACATATGCTGTCGCTGACTTTTTTGTAGGCATTATTAAGCTCTACAACTTTTCTCTAGAACATAATCATATATCTCTCATCGTTAAGGCAGCGTTCGTAATTAACGTTTTCGTTCGACCGTTTTTTCTCCGACTTTGCAAATCCGACTACCACGAAAAAGTCTTTTCATTTTTCGGGTTAATATATAGCCTATGACACTCAGAAAGAACGTGGCTTTCTATTGGTAAAAGAATTTTGAAAATCGGTTCAGTTGATCCAGAGATTACCCCCTACAACGTCACAAACTCACAAACTCACAAGATCACAAACTTTACCTCTTTATAATATTAGTATAGATTAGGTGATTTTAATTATATAACTCGGGCTATGACTTGGGATATTTACGGTCCAGTTTGGACATTCTGACAGACGAAGCCTTATTTATAGTAATAGGCGTAATCGCCTCTAATCGAGTGCCAAGCGAACAATTGCATTAATGTCTATCAAAATTTCTTCTGGCTTTTTGATGTTTCATTGTTTAATAAATATGTTATTGCTCTATGTGGTAAAAAGCATCGGCCTTTGT